ATCTCCCACAAGCCGCCTCCCCAAGAGCGAGCCTGTCCCAATGGCTTGAGAATGAGGAGACCAGTTCCCAATTCCAGCAGCTTGCTGCTCACACCGTAAGCATTTCTGAACTACTGCTAACACCGACAGAGATTCAAAACCTTCACTATTCCAGAATGTCAAGTTACATGAAGTTTTCAAAGATTCCTCTGCATTTGCTATGAACTCTTGAAATGCTTTCTAGAAGTACCCTGGAAAATGTTTTAAGAATCAGATTTCCATTGAGCAGCAAAGTACTTACTGAGCTCATGGTGGTTTCTGATCAAAAACCACCAGCAGAATAAGTGGGGCAAACAGCAAAAGGAATGTCAGGGATGTGATCAATCCTTCAGCCAGCCCAGTGCAGATTTGTTGGAGTGACAGAAAACTGCTCTTCCAAACCTATCAGAAGAGGAGAGGGGAGATTATCTATTTGGAAAGCCAGTTTTCTTGAACACCCCCATGTCCCAAGACTCCCATTCCTGAGACCCCAGTTCCTGTCCAAAGCCAGAGGGGAATCTGTGACTCTGGTACTTGAGCCCACCTGCAACCCATCCACCCATCCTGCAGCCCAGCCCAGCCCCTGAGCATCAGAAGCCTTGCCAAGAATCGCCCGCCCTCACCTGTACAGTCAGTGCAGAGTTTGGCTCGCAAATGTCAGCAATTCGCTCTCTATTCCCAGCCGGGATGGAGAAGACGGATGCTCCACGTCTGCTGCGCAGCAGAGAATCCGTCAACTGGCTCAACAGAGTCCATGCCAACAGAACCTTGGAAGCGGGAGTGCCCCTGGCAACCAGGGGCAACATTCCATGCCCGGGTAACGGGTGTCCGCTCTGCCCACCCATGGAGTTCCAGAGCGCCATAGAGGCACCTCAACCATCACCTGCTGCTGCTGCCACCCACCAGATCAGGGTGCTCAGGGCCCTGCCCAGCCTGGCCTGGAAAGTACCAGGGCATCACCAGTTTCTCTGGGCAGCCTGTTCCAATATCTCACTGCCCTCACAGCTCTTCTGAACATCTGATCCCAATCTCCCCCTTCTGATCTAAAACCCTTCCCTTCCCCATCACTCTCTGCCCCCTTAGGGCTCTGCAAGGCCTCAGTGAGGCCTCCCCGGCCCTGCTCCTCCCCAGGCTGGACAGCTCCAGCTCTCCCAGCCTGGCTGCAGAGCATGGCTGCTCCAGGCCTGCACACATCCCCACGGCCTCCTCCAGCCCCACTCCACAGGCCCATCCTGCTGCTGGGCACAGCTCCACAGGTACATCCTGCTGCTGGGCACAGCTCCACAGGCACATCCTCCTGCTGGGCACATCTCCGCAGGCACATCCTGCTGCTGCTGGGCACAGCTCCACAGGCACATCCTGCTGCTGCTGCTGCTGGGCACAGCTCCACAGGCACATTCTGCTGCTGCTGCTGATGGGCACAGCCGGGCACATCTCCGCACGTGGGGCCTCAGGGGCAGAGCAGGGACAGAGCTGCACCTCCCGCTGCCCTCAGCCTGAGCAACCCAAGCATCACTGGAGCCTTCTGTGGCTAAAAAAACCCCAACAAACCACACATCCCCAAATCAGAAAGAAATTTAAACCCTTCCTTAACCCTCCTCCTCCAGGTTTATTAGTCTGTTGCTGTTTTAACTCTTATCAGAGTCTTTTAACTTTAACCCTAGTAAATAGCAATTAAAACAAAATCCAAGTTTGTTGGCTGAGGAAAAGATGTAAGCATTCAGATCCTTATTTCAAGTCTCTGAAGTCTTGACATTTTCAGGTCTTCAACTACTCCTCTAACTAGAATTTCCCAGGAGGGCTGAGGAGTTTTGCTCTGCTCCCGGGGACAGCACCTTCCTCCTGAGGCCCTGCTCTGCTATGGAAAGTGACAGAGCAGAAGAAGCAGAATTACTGCTCACTTTTCCTTCCAGCCACTCTGCCATGGGACCCGTGTTCAGAAGGATGGGCTGGGGCTCGTGAGAGCAGCAGGGAACCCATCTCAGCCCTGCCAGGTGCAGGGCTGCTCCTCAGGCCCTGGTCCTGCTGGGTGCTCTGTGCTGTGGGGAGAATGGTGGGAATTGACCCAGTGCTGTGGAGAGCACAAGGATTTGTTCAGCTCATGCTCTACCTGAGGAGGCTCATTTCTTACAAAAGTTTCTCTGTTATTACAATCCCTCCTTTTGGGTAATTGACTACATGGTGAGTGTTGAAGAATGGGAGGGATGACTTTTCCATTTTTTGAAAAATCCCAAAGGAGACTTAACACTTCATATAAAAATGCTAAGATGCTAAAGCAATTCCAAACATACATTTAATATATGAATAATTAAGCACCTTGTATGACTCCCAAAGCACTGATTATGAGAAATGAACCATGCAAATGTACTCAGAGAGATCTGGGCTGAGCTTTTAAACCTCAAAAACCCCAGTTCTATGCCTACAGATCAATGATGAAATTATGTGTTTGGCAATTTCCCCAAATCCCCAAATTCCCTCTGTGGTTGTGCACCATATACTCCTTGGAAGAATTTGTTCAGGAGTCATTGCTATGCCATCTGTAGTCTGAAAACACATCCCTGCCTTTCTCCACGTGGCTTTGCTAAAAACTGCCCTGTTCAACATAGCAGGGCTGGGTCAGCTGTGGTGGTGCTTTGTGCACACATTCAGCTTTCTGCCTCCACACAGGTCTTAAACTGAGTCCAAAGTATACGAAGGAGGAATTCTGACTCTGAAAATGCCAGTGGGGTTCCTGCATCCCTGGGGTAAGCAGGTGTAAATTTCTGTACTCGTCCTTCCTCTAGGAGAATAAAATTAAAACGTGTCACCCTATATTTTCGTGAACTGCATCAGGTGATCTGATAATAGATCTGATAATATTGCAGCTGACATAGGTGTGGGTCAGAAGAGGAGAGAAAGATCTTTGTTTTGCACTTGGAAACAAAGTTGTCTGAATGCAGCTTTCCAAGCCTTGCTGTGGATTGCAGAAATAAGGTGTCATCTAGATCCAGAACCATCTGGTTAAAAATATTCCAGACTCTTTCCCCATCTATTAATTGAGGACACCTAAAACTGGTTTACTGTGCCAGTTTTGGACACTGTCATTAGGATTCAGCTGCAGTGCAAAGACAATGCACTAACTTTAGTTGAGCTTCAGTCATTAAGCACATATTTCTATTTCCCATAGCTGTGTCTGACATAAAAAATTAGTTATCTTGCCCCTGTGTGTCGGAAGCAGTAGTAATTAATGTATAGACAGCATACTTGGTAAAGCAAAATAAGGAAAAGGTAAGGGCTAAAATTACTACAGGAAAAATTTCAGGTATTTAATGTTGGGAAGAAACCCTAACATTTTATAATGATGGATCAAATAATCTCACAGCTATCAGAGGTCTCTTTCCAACAGAGCACATGAATACTTGGAGTCTCTGTTTTGTAAGAGAAAACAGGAGACATTATTCCCACATTACCAAGGGGGAAAAACAAGAGTGAAAGAACTTCACCTTGCCAAGGCATGGCACGTGCCTGTGATGGGGACAGGGACAGCAGCCATCCAAGGCACACTCCTGTTTTGCTCTGCAGGTTTCATGCCCAGGAAAACACATTTCAGGCCTGAAGTCCTGAAGGTGAGACAGAAAACGGGGGAAATTGTAACAGCTGATCATCTTTTTAGAGCCTAATACTGGGATAATGTTAACTCCTTTTATTGTTTAAATTGCAATTTATTATAAAACTATCCTCAGCACCCTCCTCTATTTTGAAAATTCAAGTATTTTCTTAAATTCACTATGAGAAGACTGCAGAGAAGAGTACTTCCTTACTCATGCAATTTCTAATCAAATAAAAGCTACAACCAAAGAAAATTAAGCTGCTTTCACTTTTTCAGTCTTTCTATAGAATCTTAATATATTATTGACTTAGAAAATTGAATTTCTTTTAATGATAGTTTTAGTAAGCTGAAACTTGCTAAGCACAAGCTATTGAACTAAAACCTTGGTAGCCACGTAGTTAAAGTGCTGGTCTGAGCATGGAAAGTTCAGAGGTTTTCTTCTTTTATTTGGGGCATGTAAGTACCACTAGACATATCTACAGGTAAATTTATTTCAATTTTGTTTAAAAAATGGTAATAAAACCACAGGAACTTCGACTGAGATTGTACATGAGGAGTTTGTCATGACAAGCAAATGGCCCAAGGCAAGACCACTGAAAGTAGTACTTGATTATGCTTAAAGGAAAATGTGCTTTTCCTTCAGCTGACAACTGTGCATCAAGACCAAAACTAATGCTTCACCTCTTCAGTTACTTTTTGGTAATCAGTGCTTTTCTAGGCCAATAATTTCTAAAAATTATATACACACACACACATTTAAAGGGTTAATTACTAACTCTATGCCAAAATTTTAAAAGAAAATCACCTCAGCTTATGGTGTTGAGCCATACTAACATCCGTTTAAACCTATTGTAAAATCAACTCAGTGTCATTTCATTGCAGGTTACTTAAACTTACTTGACCATAAATGGTTCCATTAAATGCTCTTTTCAATGAGAACACCTGGCATTGCATGTCACCTAGGAATACAGCTTTTAGAAAGACATTTCTGCTTACTGCCATTGCATCCACCAAGTAGCTAAAAGTCTAGCAAAGATGACCAGAAAACATTGGCCTAAAATTTATGGCCAACCTATAAGTAAATAATTTTATGTGTATTTGTCTAAGGATTATCTTTGAGTAATTTTGACCACTAGAGTAGGTTCCATTAACAGCAAAAATCAAAAGATGGCTTTATCAGAATATTAGTAACATTTTACCTTTTTTTTTGTTTAGGTCAAGCCACATAAAATTAGGCAGCACAATGAACCTACTAGGAATGTCCTTTGTTTATTACTACCCCTGCCTAAATACAGCCATTTTAAGATCTCTTGAAAAATGGCTGAAGAAGCAGATAAATAACAGAATGAAGAATAAAATGAAAAACCAAAAGTAAGGATACATGTCCACACAGATGACTAACTTTTAACACTGCTTGGTCATCTGTTTCCTGTTATAAGGTTACTTTTGCCAGCATTAGAGGCTACAAGGGAAACATAAAAGAAAACTTTCAAGATAATGGAAAATCATGACTATGCTAGGACAGCAATTTTTTCACCCTACAGCTGGTCCCAATGGGCCAGACAAATGAAAAACACAAACAGTATTTGGAGATGCACCTTGGACATCAAGATAGCTCCTTGAATAACTAGCTGCTAGAACACCAGTTGTTCACTCATAGGACCACACTGTCTACTCACCTTGTTTAGGCTATTTTAGGCTCTATTAATTCCATACCATTTATGTATACAGAAACATAGGGCAAAGTAACATACCTAAAAATTAATATAATTGAGTTCATCTTTCAGAAAGTACATGCCACAGTTTAGCGATTTAATCTGTGGTGAATTAGCTATTATCTCTTGCTGCAAATCTTGATTTTTATGCTTTTTTTCATCTGCTTCTCTCCAGTTTTCAATAAACATCAGTTCATCTGAAGTATATTTCAGGCTTTACTAGTCATAGTAACATAACTCTATCCTTGGACACGAGAAAGATTCTGTTCTCCTGAGAAGAAACCAGAGCCCATTGATGCCAACAGCAACAAGCTCACACCAGTACCACAAATGGAATGCAGCCTCACTAATCCTGTAACCCATGAAGATGATAAATACTGTGAGATGCCATTAAAATATTCCTTATTTTGGGAAGGAAAAAAATTTGTCATAAACTCGCTTTGTATAGTTTGGCTCATCCAAAAAAAAATGGGATGTCATCATGCATATAAACATAGCACTACTTCTGCTGGTTTTTTCCCTTGCTTCTATAAATTTTTTCTTCCTGTGAAGTCTATTTCTTTGTGGGGTAGCAGATACAAAATAATTTATTTAAGTCACAAGTAAAGCAACACCTGTGGGAAGCTGTCATTAACATGAAAGCAGGTACCTTAATGAAATAGGAAACAGAGATTGGTATTTGGATTCTTGTTTGACTTTACCTGTTTTTCTAGACCATCTGAAGCACCTAATAAACACTTAGTCATCTGTCCAAATAAGGTTCCTTTTCCACCTCTCTTTTTAAGAAATCCTGGTTTTGCGTGTTAAAAAACCCATTTTTATCTTTTATCCAGTAGCACACATGTTCTCTGTCGTAGACCCTAAATGTATCTACCTTCTTTTCAGGTAGATCCAAAAACTATTACAGACTATTGACACAGATATTGCAAAAGAGGTGAAGCATGTAAAAGCAAAGAATTCTGCTCTACTGAAAGCTCTGTTTTATTGCATAGTATCAAACCATGCCAAATGTTCAACACCACCATACTTAAAGCATTGATATTGCTACTTCTCTGGAGCAGAGAAGTGTGAAAACTCTTACTGTAAACAGCATCAGTTTCCAACTGCCTCACCTTGACGAGTTCTTCCTTCAGCACAAGAAAGTCATAAAGAGACATTTGCTCACTCCAGAAAAGCAATTTAACATGACTAATGTTCAGATTGACATACCACTAATTTGGAAACTGAATTCCCATTGGGCAAGTATTGCAGAAAACTCTGAAGACAACTGGTATCGCCATGTATTTTGTATTTGCCATACATTCTTCAAAACTCAAGTTCCTCCTGTAACCACAAACAGTTGCAGAAAAAGTGTTTCATCATTATCTATGGAATAACTCATGTTAAAGGTAGGATTTCACTCCTACTTGCTCATTTGTGTGCTTTTTAAATAAGGGGGTAGCGTTCCATGTGTTCACATTAAAAAAAACCCAGGTATTTCGATCTTTAAGATATCTACATTTCATGAATAATAAAATACTTCTGGATTCTTTTTTTGCTCCAATAGCTATTGTTTGTAATTCAGTTAGCCATGTCTGGAAGCTATGTTCATAGTTTTCAAACTTCAGATTAAATAAACTGAAACATGGCAGAAATCACAGATGTATAAAATCCCTAAACATGCAGTAAAAATCTCATTAGCAGCTACCTTCCATTGTGCTTGTGTCAACTGGTGATTTTAAATTAGGGGGAAAATGGAGCACAGGAGAATACTTATTTTCATTTTAGAGCAGCATAACCACGATTATCTTTTCAAATGGTTCCACACAGCAACTTTTCTCAAATTTTAAACTGAATATAAAATCAATGAAGATGGTGTATGTAGACACATGAACTGTTCATAAATATTTCTTCAGTACGGCAAGTTTCTTATGAATAGGAATCAACACACTTCTGTTACCAATGCAACAGTGAAGGATCCATTCACTATCATCATGTCTAGCTCCCACTTTCTGGTCAATGGATAATGAGAAGTTTGGTTTCTTTAAACCAAGTGTCAACTTCCTGGTTACAGAATCCTTGCATAATATTTAAAGGTAATTCTGAAGTCTTTTAAAAGAATTATTGGCAAGGTAGAATACATTTTTAATAAGCAGATTGAGGCCCAAAGTATTCTGATGAACTTTTATTAAAAATAATCTGCTACAGTAGCATGGAATTCTTCAGCAAAGTCAGACCACCACCTGTTGCACAGCCATCTTCAGTAACACAATCAACTTGATCTTCTCTGTTCCTCTGGTGATCAGCACTGCTGGCTGATAACTGCTCGGCTGAGGAACACAAATGCTGTTTTGACCACGAACGCAATTTCCAAGCAGCCAAGACACAGCTTTACTGAAAAGGAAATCACCTTTCCTTCAACAAAGCCAGTTTTTCCTAAACTTTTGCAGATGGATATAATTCCATGCACAGTCATTAGATCCAGAAACTTCTCAGTATGAGAACCAAAAGTTGCTTAATGACATATTGCAAGTTGATTTGTGATGCTCTGCATGCAGTTTGCTTTTCAGGACTTTGGGGGCTGCTTCCCTTTCCAAAGGCAATGCGTTCAAGATGCGGGATGTCTGCTTCCCAGCGCTGCTTCTATCTGCTGGATGTCATTATGCACTGAAGATTTATGCTCAGCTTCAAATCAAATGCAAGTTTCACACTCTAAGCAGGGATGCCCACAAACATATTGTTCTTTGGAGAGCAACTCTCTGGCTCCATAGATATAACTTGGACAGAGTAGTTACGCTCTTCTGCAGCCCATGCCCGATCCAGATCCACAAGTCCCATACACTGCTTTCCTAAAATGACAACAAGGGAGAACACAGAAACTCAAAATGTAGAAATATTATCAGAAACATGCATGTAATGTTAGGAAAACACATCAGTAAGCCATCTAAAAAATAAGTTCCAAATCTACTTTAAAAAACATCTTAATCTGGTTTATGTTCCAAATCACATCTGTAACTTGTACTCCTCATTTAGCAAAGACCTTGAAGAGATTATTAACTCTTTAATACGAAGAAAGGCCCAACTATTTAAAAGTATTCTCAAAACTTACAGGAAAAAAACATGCTTTAATGTAAATGGGAAGAAGAAAAATGTCTAGTTTACCCCTTAGCCCTCTGAATTGCCAGACTTCTAGTCCCTTTATAACCATAGCTGTTTCCTTCCTGTACTTTCACCTAAAATCTGAAAATCTCTGGTTATTGAACAATAGACTAAAATACCAAAAAGTGTAATTGATTTGAGACATATTGCTGTAACTACTTATAAACAAACATACTGAATTGGTAATGCAAAATAAGCTTATTTCAGATTTACCTGCAGCAAAAAACCCAGGAAGGACAGAGGGTTTTTTTCTGCTTAGAATTTTTTTTGTTATGATACAACCATGACAAGATGATGGGACCATTTGTCTTTACTTACTCACTCATTATAATTGATTATTATGTTCTGAAAAACAGAATTGACTTGTCAGATTGTATTTTCAGCAGCTTGAAACTCTACTGAAAGGAAAATTTAATGCTACTTTGAAATGTTTTATCACTAGTAGTTACAGTCTCAAGTCAACAGGGCACAATCCTGCTTCAGTCTCAAACACAATGATCCTGCCTCTTCCCTTGTTCCTGACAGAATTACACAGTTAAATGTATTTGGGGTCTGAGATGAAGAGACAGGAGCACATCCTGTTTGCCTTTGGAATAGGAGTCTGGCATTCCAAACCACCTTCTGGAACAGCTTATCTCTCTTTCCTGAATATATAACCAGCTTTTGTGCCTGTATAATTACCAGCCCTGCTATGCACCCTGGTCAGGTGCCTTTAGAAGTTTTGGGCAGGTGGCACCAATACATCCTGCAGTATCCTTGTATTTCAGAGCAGTTGGTGCACATCACAGTTGAATGCAGGGCTCAGTCCAACCTACTCTGTCCATCCACAGTGAGCCCCCAGCCAGAACTATCTTCTCCTTCTCAGCTTAGTTACAGAAGAATTTCACTGCTTTGAATTCACTATTATGACATTTGGCCTCAGTTCTGTTGGTGGCTTGAGATTTGAGAGGGGTAGTAATTGGGCTGGAGACAATTTAAAGATACAATAATGAGGGAGAGCCTGAAAAAGATCTTTCCAACTCAGTCCTGTATGGATTTGGATGTTGCAGGAAGAAATCACTAGTTTGTATAACCAACCAGACAGAACTCTGCAAATCACCTTTTGTAGCCCTATCCTCCCACATCTGTGGTTTCATAGAAAACCACCTTCTGTGGTTGGTTGAACAAAATGGCCACTGACTCCAATATTATTATTACAATAGTACTCACTGTCAGGGCAAAACACTTAAAAGTTACATTTGTGGAAAAAACCCCTGCAGTTTCAGACATTGAGAACAGATAAGAGTTACAATCCTTCAAAAAAATTTTTTTGATCCTATTTCAATTTTCAGTCTACAGCATAGGGTCCAACACTAGTAATGAATATTGACCTTTTTAAAATTTTTTTTTCAAATATTGTGATGATGACAAAAGAAACTGACAAATTTACTGTCAGCTTTTATACAGGATCTCTATTATTTTCTTTTTGTGCAGCGAGTATAAGAAATACTTTCAATTGTTCAAATTAAGCTTCTTAAAAACATTATGCTTATTAGCTAGTACTGCTTTCATATACTTTGTAAATGTTTCTTCTAAGCCAAAAAAGCAGACTTATCTCTAAGCAGACTTAGAGTTCCTAGGCCCTTCTGTCTTTTCTGACCTGAAAGCTAGTTACAGCTTCCATCAAAACAACAATACCAAACTGTCACTTTAATATTGATGATTTTGGATGAAGAAAAACATTTCTATAGCAAGAAGAGAACAGCAAGATGTGAAATGTGACGAAACTTAAATTTTCAACTGTTATCTGAAGACATCTACTTAATGCCCCATTCATAAATGTCCTACTTCTTCCTTTCTGTATCAAGGTAAAACCATTACTGGGATGGTTTACACAATAGCTGCAGAAATTCATACCAATTTGCCTGCGTTCAGGTGGAAGCTGAACAGCTGTCTGATCTGCAAATCTGCAAAGGATCATGTGCTCCTATAAAAAAGACAAAAAATCATTAAGAAAAATCTGATTAAATGCTTAAAAGTATCAGAAATTATACCACATTGAAGACAGTATTTCTAAAAAATTTCACCTGTGTGGAAATCCCCATTTTTATACTGCAAATACTTGTGTAGGTCAAGTGTTTGTAATCACTGCCTCACTTCTCCTCATTAGTATTTATTTCTTGCTAAACTTCCTAATTCTTTGCAGCAGTTGAATGGGATGCAATGTATACAAGACAGCATCCTTCAAAGACATTCTGCAGACTAATTTTGCCTTCAATAACTGATGAGCAACACAGCCATCGTTTAGCATAGTCGTAATGGGGCAGCCTCCCTGCATCAATAAGCAGCCGAGACAAAATTCTTTAACAGTTGATTTGAACATTTCTCCCAAGCAGTGATTTTGAATCCCAGGATAAGCTGATGGGTCAAATTTCCCCTGCCCCACCAAATCCAATCAGATCCTGAGGGCAAAAAATACCTGGCTGTGAATAGGAAAGTCTCCAGCAAAAGGAGCACAATTTACTTTCAAACTACCCCTGTTCCATTAAAAGTTTCTGCAGACACTTCTACAGAAGACTTTCTCCCTGCCCACTCAGCCAGGGGGATGGTGCAGGGGAGGGGGCAGCAGCAGAGCCCCATCCTCACTTGCCTTCAATGCCAGCACAACGGCACCTCAAAGATCAGGCAAGGCAAGGAAAGCAGGTTAGCCAGGGGAGAGAGCAAACCCTTGCAGGTGTGGCAGTGGAATTACTGCTCTGATGACAGCTGTGCCTGTGGGACAGCTGCAATGCTCAGTACAGGGCAGAGTAAATCAGAACCATCTTGGAATCACACAACGTTGCCAAGTCTCCCACAATGTCATGGGGAGAAAACAGAAATGGGCAACAGCACAAAGTGCTCTCCCACGCAAAGCTTCCAGAGCTATAGTTCTGAAACAAGGACATGTTGTTTTTTGTATCAGGTAAGATATAACAAAAGATTTTGTTATTCTTACCTGATATAAAATTACAATTTTAAAGATTTGGTTCTTATAACAGGTGGAGAGAGCAATCTCACCTAAGGACACTTCAGGTTCTTTCATTATTCTGAAGTAAGGATACTTACTCCAGCTTTTTTTAGAATGCCATAAACATCTAAGTCTTCACTCCACAAGAAATCTTCATATTAAAACAAGATGGCAATTCCCCCACTGCACTCCACCCAATTCATAAACAAGACACCTGACCGCAAAAAATTTTCCCATATATTATAAAATAAAATATGATCATCTCTTGATACACAAATATTACTCATTTAAATATATTTATAATATCTTGATGCAAGGATATTTGTTCCCTAGTACAGCACAAAGACATGAAGGTTTCCAGCTCACAGCTTCATAAAAAAATACAGAAGCAAAATAAGAACATGTTATAACACATTTAGGCCTTAAACATGTTACACCCAGGCAGTTCAGCTCAAATGTGGCTACTCCTGCAGTACAAAAGAGGTAAAAACATTAAACCCAGATGTGACCACTGAAGAACGGAGAAGAAGGGGTGCCACGGACAATGTGGTCACTGTTGGAGAAAAGCTGGAGTGACAGGCAGCTTGGGGAGAAAAAGAGGGATTTAGAGGAGAGGGAGAAGACCCATGTTAACAGACAACTCCTCACCAGTCTTCAGGCACCTGACAGAACTTGGCTCTTGGCAACAGCAAGTTCCCAGCTCTTTGGACCAGACCAGAGCCAAGGTAAGTCTTGTCACTTGACCTGAACATCTGGACTGACTCCAATCCTTGGCTTCTTACGGTGTGATCCAAAAAGATAAACCAGAGGCTGTTATGACTACATTGATTCCCCCTGACACAATGATTAAATTGTCATATTCCCTGTTGGCTGAAATTTTAAAAAAGCATTTCTAAAGTAAGGATGAGAAACTTCCCAAAGTGTGCATAAACAATTAACTTGTTTACTAGAACATCTACCTGTTCCATTCCTATTAAATTTCCAAAGCTGTATTTGCAAATTTATACAGTTCTGCTTTCCAATTCTCCTTGTGTCTTGACAGAGTCACAAAATGTATCATAATAGAAATCTACAGCTAGCATAACCTTATTCCTTGCAACTATAAACAAATGAATTACAGCATAATGTTCTCATCAAGAAAGTTTTGGAAATGCCAGACTTCTGGATGTCTTTTTACATCTCACTAAAATAAAAGATAAGAGAAATTAATTTAAAATGGGAACTGGAGTGGATGACACAGACAATGTCTGGCTAACACATGGCAACTTTGGCTGCTAGCCAATAACTTGTAAGAATTTATTAATATGAAATATAAAAACACATACAGCTAGCTGCATAGCAGAAGTTATTTATAATTAGGATTATTTGAGGCACCAACCAGCCTAGACCAATTGTATAGACTCTCATGTTACTAAGAGTAGCAATATTTTTTAGCCTTATCTTTGACTCCTGTGCCCTTCTGCAACACAATTAATAAAATTCTGGAGCTTCTACAGTATTGACAAACCCTGTGATTTAAATCTCTGTGGTTTAACAGATTAGGAAGAAATTCACTGAGTTGCAATGAGATTATACACACTATCCTAATCTAGGCATCTTAGACTTTATAACTGACACCATCCCTCTCTGTGCTGTCAGCAGGTTTAATAATGCTAGTAAATAATTTTTTTCTGAACTGAAACCCAACTTCTTTGAGATTATGTCACAGAGATGCTGAAAGGAACATTAGTCATGGGAAAAAATAATGGCAGCTCCAAATCCATCATGTGGCTTTTGGCATCTCAGTCTTTGGGCATTTATTACCTGATAACTGAACTATTCCCTTACAAGATGGCTGGAGATTTTCTGAATTTTTAAAACTCGTTCTAAGTTAGGGATTAAAAAGGATAATCTCTATTTTCCTGCCACATACATTATCTTTGCACTGCCCACTGTTTCCAAAAGCATCTGGATATTAGAAATACCCTCCTTCATTTCCATATTTCTGTTACAAAGAATTATTTTGAACCTCCAAAAATCACTTCTATATTGTAAAAGCCAAGAGCCCTGTCTAGGACTTGAGCTGTAAATTTAGTAAAGTTCCTACATAACCTTGCTTCTCTCAAAAGGAAACGCTTTTTCCATGCCACATTAAGTGCCTCTAATCTTCAAATTTTGAGTTGGCCATCACTAACTAGTTTAAACTCACAAGACAAAACTTGGCAGATCAGTACCAGTTTTCTGCTGCCCACCTCTCTGCTCTTGTCCTTTTCCACTCTCCTGTTACCCTTCATTTTGTCAGTATGCTTCAGTGATAATTCCTCCTGTGTTTCTCTCAGATTATCTCCACAGACCCCAATTGCTCAGGGGTCTGTGGAGATAATCTTTTAAAATTACTTTTAAATTCAATATTTTAAAAGTAATTTTGAACAGCATTTTAAAGACTGTATAAAATATAAGTACTGTATTAAAATCTTGCTGATCTGTTTAAGCTCTTCCCACTTACAATGTCCAACGTTTTAGACATAAATTAGAGGGAGACATCTAATGTTTATTACAACACTTGTATTTAACATCTAAACCAATTGGTATCCTGTAATTTTTAACTGATGCACATTAAAATACCTTAGGAATGGCTCATTTATACATTATGACAAAAAAGGTGGGGTTTTTTGTGGAGAAACTACTTAATTTTGTTGAAGAAAAAAGCCTTCAAAATGGATGGTGGAGAGAAAACACAATGGCACCTGCACTAATAATGAACATTTCACATAACACATGCCCCTCCTATTTCTAGAAGATAACCACCTATACTTCATTTGATAAGAAGACCCAGTGAAATGCAGGAAACTGCAAATAAATATTTTCCCTCTGTCCTTTTACATACCTTGTAGGACAAAATTTCTTTGAACTGATGACTGAAAAAAAAAAAATCAATTCAATTCACATCTGAAAACAGCAAAAGTGGAAAACAGAAGCAATCATTATATACTTGAACACATTTAAAAAAAAACCCAGCAATATCTTTAACATACAGAAAGGCTTTAAAAAATACCAAAGCCCATTACAGTTCCAGTTCACTAGAAAAGTGTATTTCGTGGGGGTTTTTTTCCTAGTATTAATAAAAACTCCCTCTTTAAATCATTATAAATGCTAACACATACTTACTGTGGTTTTCTCATTGTCACACAAATACTTCACATACATTTAATAGTACACACATATATTTTGTTTGTATCACAAAGCTAAAGGGTCTTTACAATGGAATTGAGTACAGAACACAGACACTGCAGGGATATGGCCAGGCTATCATGCTCTATGATCATATAACATAAGGAAAAAAAGAAAAAGCAAACCCTAAAATGTAGCTCAAGACCAGGCTGATAGTTTTTCATAGACTTATGAGGTTAGATTGAAAATTTCAGCAAACACAAATATTCTTGCAACACCACATTAAAAAGTTTTCTAAGCGATCATTTCCAGTCTTTGTGGTCTAAAAATGTAGCTGGTGAAAAGTTAAACATTAACCAGCCAATTTTAAAACAAATCTACTGACAAAAATTATATGCCTGTTCATTTTAGAAGGCTTGGAATTTTATTGTCTCTTCATTAGAAGACTTAATGTATTATTGTTCCACAAGAGAAAACAAAAGAGATGGAAGTACCAAATTGACTAAGAAAAAACAGTTAAAGGCAAAGGTTATCAAACTGACAAGTTATAAAGAATTGCTTTCTATGCACTTCTGTAGCAGAACACTTTGATTATAGAAAAGTATGAAAAATATTTCATATGAATGCATAATATCTCTATAGATTTGTTGATACCTTTTAAGACTGCATGTTTCAGTTTCTTATTTTAGCAAATACATACTTAAGTCATTGATGTAATTCCTGGTACAATTAAATCTATTTCATCTTGGATATCCAAAATGCAAAGTTCAGGTTTATGAACAAAAAAAAGCCAACCAAAACACAACCCTTTTCCTCCACCTAGTTCTGACTCAGAAGGCTGTTTAACCTCTTATCTTCTGCCACTTTATGCTTATCCTTTACATTTCATTTAAATCAAAGGCCTTAAAATTCTTAAGCATGAGATATATTAGTACCTCCCACAAGGCAGATTTGAAGACAAAATATGTACACAATCCATTGAAAAAGTATTAAAAATATGAACTGAAACACAGGAGAGCTTATCTACTTGGGAATAAATCAAAGGAGTTGTACAAGCAGTAAACTGTGGTATAAAGCAGACCCATTTCTTTAAACTGACTGCTTACATCTTCCTCCAACATTAAAAAGTCAATTCCGCTTCTTAGAGTAATTTTCATGAGTTTTCTATTAACTTTGTGATTTTAAGGTAGAAGGTCTGCTTATAAGATACTGTATCTACTATGTTGATTGTATAAAGTCTGAACCATGAATAGATAAATCCAGAAAAAAAATAATCCAGGAATTACCAATCTGCCCATGAGGATGGATTAAACAGGAGGAAACAGTTTCACTGTAAGTGTGAATCAGCTTAGCCTGGTCACTCTCAATGACCCTCAAATGGTAAATTCTATACTCTTTTAGGATTTTATTCCTTCACTTAAGTTGATATTTGAGAGCTTATCTTGCAAGCTTCAGTTTACCTTCGTGGATATTTGAACTTGACTGTATTTTGAATGAAGCCGTAGCAGCAGGGGGAGATGACAAAGGCAGCCCGTGCCCTGAGGCAGTGCTCAATCACCATGTCTGTGGCCACCCCGCAGGCGTGCAGGGCCACCTAGAGCAGGAAAACAACCAAGGAAACAGGAAAATTCATCACTGGAACAGTCTAAATACAATCCAGCATTTTTTTGGTTGACTTAGTTAAATGCATGAGGAAGTTTTTGCAATTAAAGCTGTTACACCAAAGGCCTGGTCCTTAATTCTCCAGTTTTTCATTCCCTCCTTCATATCTATGTTGATGAAAATTTAGGGTTTATTTCACTAGAAGAAACAAAGAATCAACACTGAAGAAGGGTCGCTCACCAAAAGCACTCAAAAGGCAGATGCACTTCATTGTGATATCCAATGAACTAAACACAAATCTCCAGAAAAATAGTAGTTGTGGAATACATAGTAACAGAAAAACTATATGGTGATATGTAAAAAAATTTTGTCAAGCAAAAAGAACTCAAAAATACAAAGAACTACATCAAAACTGGATTTCAACTAAGCAGTATGAGAAGAAATAGATATACCTGAAGGTCACATCTAAAGGAAAAAATGATGCTATTATGCTAAAATTATGCTAATATTATATAAATTTAGATAATTTGGCTTTCAAGTACTGAGTAAAACCTATAGGAAACAAACACTGGAGCTGGGGGAGGCATCAAATACAACTTGCCCTCCTTTTATTTTTTTTTCCTCTCCTTATTCTTTTATTTCTTTTCTTTAGTGAGGGGCTCTTCAACTAAAACTAAAATAAGATTTGATCACAACTACCTGTGAGCACTGACATGTTTGGGCAACACAGAGGTTGCACCCAAATTCTTTCTGCTGTCCTATAGAAAAACAAATGACTGCAGTACCCAATATCCTGCAAGGAAACATAGGCAGCTCTCTCCTGTCTCTACCTGGGATGTCAAATGCACCACTGAAATGGGGCATTACCTCCTCTGCCTCCTCCCAGGTGCTCAGCACCTCAAAGAGTAGGTCTGGTGCATACTTAAACTAAGGACATTTTTGAGGCACATTACTGATTTTATGCAGCAGTGTGGATTTATAAAACTACATTATTTGCTTTGCTTTTTGTTCACTGCATGTTTAGAGAAGAGGTTTAAGACTGCACAGCTCAGATTTCAGGGTTCAAAGCTGCTTTTCAAGGTAGAGCAACTGGAAGATAAAAACTTTGCTCTCAGATATAAATTAAAACAAAGTCTTTTTTGTTTCCAGTCTGCTTGCTGTAAGCTCAGCTGAGGAGACCATTAATCATCAACTGAACTGTAATTGCATACAGATGGAAACAAATATTCTAGTCTCAGGCAGAACACTAAAAAATTAACAAGAAAATAATTGCACAATGAAATTTTCTGCTCATATGAATTTAACAAAAAAATAAAACTAGTTTAACATCAGAAATAGAATTTTAATATCACAGCTATCAGATTATCATGGAATGCAATTATAGTTACTTCCTCATCTATCCAAGTAGAAAACAAAGCTAGCTCTCTGCTTTGCTTGCAGAAAGAGATCTTAAAACAACAGCAGATAAGCCAGTAGCTTTGCTGAGCCTGTGTGATCTGTTAGACCAAATGATTTCTTCTTTGGCTTTCTAAAAACCCATTTAGTTAAGAAAAACTCCCAAATAAAATTAAAGATGAAGCTTTTGCAGTAAACCCTATATATTGAACTCAATATCTGAAACAAAATAAAATGTGAAGACTTAGGCAGATATTTGGTAATGAAGAGCAGGTAAAGAAGAATTTCCAAGTGAACTCTGCTGACATATACTTCAATATCTCCCTTGTCACAAAACTTGAAAAAGAGAATATAATACTTTTTTTATTAAATAAAAACTCCACAGGGTTAACATTGTATTAACCTTTAAAATGGGCCCCCAGAAATCAAGACAGGTATTCCAATGACCACAAAATTGGAGACTCACTTCATAAAACAACTATTAAGCATTTCACACACACAATTCAGTGTATTATTCATGAGATCCTGGCACTTTGAAATAGCTCTCTAGTTCACCCACTGAGATTTATATGACAATGTAGCACAGAAAATAAAGCTAGAGAATTAGAAATTTACACTTGGAAGGACTGGGCTAAAACCATTTATTCTCTCCTCTTTCTCCTGCCCTGAATTTCTTTTCCTTTCTTAAATAAACCAACCAAACAGTTAAATAGCACTGTTCATGTACCATAAACTTTCAGCATTACCCATCCTCTGCTACAGTCAAAATAGGCTTTTAGATGGATGATTTAAAGAACAGTCAGTCTTGCATGGAAAGCTTGCACCTTGCCACAGAGGTTCATAGTCTATTAACAGCATAAAAAATGGATGATAGAAATATTTACAGAGCTACAAAATACTATTTATGCCTTATTCTTCACTAGGGCTGCAAAATTCTAGTCAGGACATTAATCTCATTTACTTTCACAGTCTGTAAGGACATACAGAATTTTATTCTCTCATGTATATCGGTTGTTTAAGAATAATTAATCAGACACTGAAGTTCTGAAGTGGAAAAGTTATCATCACTTACCCCAATGTTAAAAGTCCCATTAAAATAGTCCAAATTTGCTTGAATGAACCAAATGTTGTTTAAACCCAGTTCATCACTTCTGTCTTTAGCACGGATCAGAGACAACTCCTTATTTTCTATGAGTACCACCTAAATTTCACACATAGGAGAAAGTAAGGCAAAATAATACTGAGAAATCAAAGTACAACACTACTAAGCAGAAAACGTTGTAGTTTGTTGAGAAAACCTCTGAATCACTTGTAGCAGAGTCTGAGATCTATAAAATGATTAGCTGGAAACCCAGGAACAACCAAAGGCATTTAATACTTGCCAATATTAATCAGCTTGAAAATATTTTATATTTTCCTACAATTTTTGTCTTCTCTGGAAAGCACCACACACATTTGGGGATCATGCTAAAAAATGTGCATGTTTCAAACCTAAGTCCTCTGCTGAGACAACTGTGATTTCTATGTGTCCTCCCTACATACACATATTTTTAAGACGACTACCAGAAATCTTTTTATTGAGGATTTACCTGACATGATGGCATCATATAAGCAAGAACAATTCCAACATGGCCCTGTGAAAACAAAAACAAACAACAAAATCTGAGTCACTTTTCAGTGTTCCCTGTTGCTCACTCATTATGTGATGAGCATCCCCATACTAATCAGAGAACCTTTGAAAGCAGCTAAAATTTCAGCATCTGCACATCTGCTTTTCTTTGTAGCAACAACCACCTAGCACTGCAAAGACGAAAGGTGAAAAACATTGCACCACATAAACAAAAACATACATTACCCCTCCACTGCAAAAATCCACAATCAAATCTCCAGGTTTCGCGAGCTTTGTCACTGCTGCTACCAAATTGTTCAGCTGCTGCTGCTTCCTGAGCGCCCGGTCTCGAGACATCTTTCCTGGGGATGACAGAGAAAATGCCTAAGTAGTGATCAGCAGCTCTCAACACTGACAATTTTACATGGGTGACTGCAAAGCACTGCAAATGCGATTGATAGCTCTGATTGAAAATGACAGGAACACTTGCACATCTTAATCCACTTCAAGCAAAATTCATATTTAATGTGTTAAATATTTGGTAGAACCTTCTCCAAAATTCACTTTCTAGTTGTGTGACAGTGTTCACAGGGGTCCCACAGGATGAGGGAAGAGATGAGAATGTTGACTTTATATTTCGGAAGGCTTGATTTATTATTTTATTATATATATATTACATTATAACTATACTAAAAGAATAGAAAGAAAATCATCTCAGAAAGCTAGCTAAGCTAAAAATAGAATAGAAAAATATTATAACAAAGGCAGCTGGCTCAGACTGAAAGAGAGCGCCAGCTCTGCTATGACGGGTCACTAAATCTAAACATCCACACGAGACCAATCACAGATCTACCTGTTGCATTCCACAGCAGCAGATAACCATTGTTTACATTTTGTTCTTAGAGCCTCTCAGCTTCTCAAGAAGGAAAAATCCTAAGACAGGATTTTCATAAAAAGATGTCTGTGACATAGTTATTGCTGTTAATGTATCTTTAGGAACAAACTCATATAAACTTAATGTAAAGAAATCAAATTAATGTAAGCTCTGGCCTAATTCCCCTCCAATCCTGTGATTCATGCCCAGAGGCAGAGTTCAAACACATTCACAGTAAGGTTGCCAAAATAAATCCTCATTTACTGTATCTATATTCACCATCCTTAAGCATTTTGGTTTTACAACTTGTACTCTTTCTCCTGTCAATTTTTACTTTCATATTAACCAGTCCTATTTATTTAAATGACTGCAAGTGCAAGGAGGTATTTCTCAGAGTGACTATTTCTACATAGCAAAGACTGGCTTTCCATCACATCTGTAATAACCAGAACGGGAAAAACTATTAATTTCTTTCAAATGTGCTTGGAAAAGTCCAACAGAGAGTTGTTTCAGATACAATGAGTTGTTGAGTCAGCACTTATGTATTTGTAAGGCTGTGTTTTGTCTCAGTGGGGCTGAGTGCTGACAGAGCTATTAAAGACTCCTTTTGCTTGTTCAGAAAGCAGAGTTTGACACAGATATTGACAGCTCATCTTCACAATAAGAAAAAAGTACTGAAACAACTCTTTACTATCAAGTACAACTCCTGAAAACACCATCAAATTTTCATACTGTGCAAAATTAGCAAATAGATTCTAGGATCCCTAAAAATCAGAAGTAAAATAGCAACAATTTTCATCAGCAAAACCATATCCAGTACTTAATACTCACTTAGTTGATCTCATTAGTATTAAATTAATAAGAAAAAGAATTTTTAAAGAATTAACCTACAATCTTCAAAAACTCTAGCAATTAACTCTTAATGGTCATCAACTAACAAGGTTCATCCTCCTTTACTGTGCAGGCAATAAGTAGTAAATACTCCCTTGAAAGATGGATAAAATCAAGCTTGAATCAATAGGACTTTTGCCCGCTCTACCTCTGTATTTTGAGCTTGGTAGCCAGAACTACAGAAACACAGCAAGCTGTGATGTAGCCTGCAGAGAATGTTAGCATGGCTAACTAGTCCTTCATAGCAGCAAACAGGAAATAAATTCAACCAAAATTTCTGCATCGAAAAATACTACAGTTCACTTTGCATTTCACAAGCTCTGTGATTGCAAACAATGTTAATTGCTGTCTTCAAGAACAGTAAGGAAAAAAATAGTTTTAAATTTAGCCCTATAAGGCAAAATCTTGAAGAACTTGACATTTTTTATACAATACATGGAAGGCCCCCACAAAATTATTTGCTTCCTTCACGAGAACCCAACTAACAGATTGCCAGTCCCAGAAAAATTAATTTTCAATAAACAGTCACAACAAAAAATATTTTATTTGGTTTCACAAATCCAACATTACTGTTAATTCAGCCCATGTCAAGCAGAACTTTAAAGTTTCTTTGGCATTCAGAGGTCTTGCACTTTAGTACATATAAATATCAACTTTTCAGAAGGCAAATCCCTCTTTATTTTTGTATTACCTTGGTCAGCATTCAAGTTTGTATAATCCTTTAGTCCTCAAATAATTCTTTCATATTTCTAAAGTTGAACTTGAAAAATCACTCAAGTACCCTTAAAAAAACCACACCCCATATATCACCTTTAAGAATTTAACCCTATCCACCTTCCAAGTCCTACCACAGTACATCTGCACATGCAGCTACCAACACGTACACGTAACACAGCATGTGCATGCTCTCTATTGCATACTTCTATTGTTTCAGCACAAGTATCTTCTTCATTTTACATAAGCCTTGTTTAACTAATTCAAATGACAACATGATGCTACTTTTCATGGAAATTTAGGGGAAGTCTATTCATTGCTATATTGTTTAAGTACAGCAAAAAGGTTCAGTAACTACAAAACAACAGATACTGTTTTATTCTGAGCTGAACACGTTTTTCTGAAACCAATGGGTTTTTTAATGGTAGATCCTTATGATAAATCAGGATATTCTAATTCTTTCCTAACACCCACAATATCTTCTGCTAAACTCTTTTTGATATCTCTTGGCAGGTAGGGGGTCTTATTTGCTTCTTTGTTGTGGGGGTTGTTGTACTTTTGTGTTATGGGCTGGTGTTTCATGTTCTCACACAGAGTATTAGTCACATTAATACAGTGGTACAGTGGTTCCCATGCAACCACTACAAAAAGTAGAACTCAAAAAAGATGTAAGGAATCCAGCTCAGCTGACTTTCATTTACAAACACTCTCAACAGTCAAAAATAATACCACCTTCAATGAACTCTGCCAAATACTGAAATAAATACAAATTAGCAAAGTCAATAATTTTGCTGAGGTTCATTGGTCACCTTGGTTACTTGAACAATGTTCTTCTTCAAATTATCTGCTTTTATTAAATCTGTGTGGGCCAGTGCTGAAAGCTCAAGATCTGCCCTCCTCTTCTCCAGCCTGGGACCACATTCCAGTGGTTCCCTTCTCCTCCTCCCAAGTAGCAACCTGTCAGCTTTCAGCAACATCTGTTTCCTACTTGTTGCATGACCACACCAGAGGAGAGAGGGGAGGTATCAGGAGATGGGCCAGCCAGCCTCAGCATCATCTCCAAGGATGCCCTGGCAAAGACCCAGTGGAATCACAGTCTGAAATACACACTACATCAAAAGGCCAAGAGGCATGCAGGAGGTAAATGCGTCTCAATTCTTCTCTATCGTTTGTAATAGTGGAGGGAGACAACTTGGATTGGGAAAAAAGGATGATTATACTTTTTGAGCACTACCTGAATCCAATACAGCAAATAGTGTGTCTGTGGCTTGTTCACTTGGGCATAACTCAAATAAGGGACCCAGCAAGCATGGCTGTTGAGAGAGAAGTTGGACCACATCCTGTACTGGGACTTGAATACCTCCCCATTGACATAAATCTGTCCATTAAAGAACAAAAAGTTACATTCTTATGGCTTCAGCTTTGGGGATAAAGCAGACTTTCACTCCAGAGTAGCCATAAAACAATTAACACCACAAAATGTCTCTAACCAATTCCTCAACGCAATCTAGATTGTAGAATAACACTGACCTTGGCTCTCCACTTGTCAGGCTCAGTGTAAATTGTTTTCCTTACGTTCAACTCCCTTACAGTTGTGAATTCAGTCTGGCTGTTTGAGTGATACTGGACTAAAAAGTATCTGTCACTGGAAGTCTGCCTCTTAGTTACAAAGAATATACTGCTTTACCATGTGTGTTAAGCCTAAAGGTCAGACTTTGAGTTCTGACCTAAATGTAGAATTCAAAGGTTGGCCTCTAAAAGACCAGTTGTAAAAAACCTGTTGAATTTGATCATTAAACTCTTTCTTATAATGTGGGATACCTAATCTGCTGGAATTCACAAAGAAAACATCATCAAATTATCAAAAAGTTTCACAGCTTTTACATTTTCCACTCCATCAGAGTCCCCAAAATCTAACGGCATAAGATGCTGATGGCATCTTCCCATTGTCACAACCATGTAATGAGACTGATGCTGAAAAATAAAACAGCTCAAGGCACGTTCCAGAGCAGTCCCATCCTGTTTGTGATTTGTACACAGACCCCTAGACGGCGATATAATGCTTACACAATAGGTGACATTTCAAAAATCACTCTCATTGAAAAGTAAATGGAAACATTTAACTCTGAACAGCTTCATGAAATTTTACAGTACGTATTTAATCATCATTTTCATTATGTTGAGATAATATTTCTGTGTTATCCTACCTTCAGCAATGTAAAAGTCTAATTCATATTTTGGAAGGCCGGGGGAAAAATCATCAGAAAGAAAAGAAAACCCACTTTGAAGCATCATGAAGTACCAACTATCCTAGCAGCCAAAGCTCTATGCTGGACTTTTTTTTATTTAGAGAAAACTACAGCAAACCTTAATTTTTTTTCTTTTTCATTCTCTTGATCTTGTTGCTTTACCAAGACTTTATTCCCAAGGTATACCCAAAAGGAACCTGCAGGTGGAAAAGTATGTGCTTTCTGGCTCTGCAGGGAATCTCAGAGTTACAATGTGCTATGAAGAAAAGAGGCCAGAGACTTCTGCACACCACCAGGAGAACTAAATGCTCACACTTTTCCAAAAGGCACATCTACAAGCTGCAGCAGAAAAATACAGTTAACACAAGATGATGTGGCAACTCTGTTGGATTTCTGAGCAGTTTGAGCCCTGCTACTGCAGAGGTAACCAAAGAAATCCTTTCTCTACCATTCCCTTGTCTGTACTACTGCTTCTAGAGATGCCCAGGCTCTCTGTGGAGTGCTACAACACTCCATGTGGCATGGGTCCCTCACTCCTTGTTGAGCTCTCTCCCAGTACTGCACTCCATATGTACACAGCATAGGTACAGTTCAGCTTCCTCACTGGCCTTCTCCAGGAACTGTGACACTGGCC